ATGTGTGTTCATCATGTACCACAATGATCAGTGGCTTGACCTGGCCCCCACATCTCATCCCCATGCCATCCTCGGCTAAAGTCCAGTGTTCCTAGGTAAGTGCTAGACTTTATAACAATCTATAAGCTTATATAGCTTGTTATATAGATTGTTATATAGACTTATAACAATCTATAAGCTATCCCAGGGGGGAAAATTGTCATGTAGTCATTGTCCTTGCTACCTCATGCTGTTTATTCATGGTGAATTAGTTTCTGACCAACAGCATCTAGCCCTGGGCCATGGTGACAGCACTAAAATCTCCCTCCCACGGCTGTGTCCAGAGTGACCGTGGAGTATGCCTCCTTGTCTCTCCTTTTCCTAAATGAAAAAATTCCCAATGTATTGTTTAGGCCTGTACTGGCCAATGTGGTTTCAGTTGACTCCATTCTGCCTTTAAGCATTTGAAAGGCAAGTTGGAAATTATATACTCTGTATAAAGTTCATACTGGCTGCCATAGATTCAGTACATAAAATGGCTTGATATTTTTGTATTGATTACATGTTATAATATTTTATACATATTGTTAAATAGTACATGTTGAAATTTAATTTCACCAATTTTACTTCTTTAATGGACTATAGAAAATTTCAGGTTAACTTGTTCAGCTCATATTATATTTGTATTGGAGTGTTCTGGTTCTGTTACTGTCTCAGCTTGCCGCTACCTATGGTAGTTGCTCAGAACTTTACCCAGAACAGCTACTTAATATCTAGGGATTTGATTTTTGCTTATGGCATAAGCGAAGCATTGGCCTCTTATCACTTTTATTGGTGTTTCATTTCTCTTCTTGCCTCTTTCCTTGCCAGTGGTTCCTTTGTCTCTTTTTCTGCATCTTCAACATCTTTTCATCTCCTTTTTGGCCTCTAGACCTTGTTTGAGTGGCTTTGGACACAATATGCAAGGACCTTCCCAGTTTTGCAATTGGCAGCTAAAGAAAAGAACTGTATTTCAGTGTATTGTAAGCCGAGACACGCAAAAACCAGGACCAGTGGCCTTGCTCTCTGGGGAGAGTCTGAGCTCTGCTTCCCAATTGGTACTTTGCTGCTATGTCATCTGAAGGAGTCGGGGGGGACATGTCTTTATGTGATGAAAGGCAGAGGGCAAGCATGAACTTTCTCTGTCAAGCTGTAAAGGGAACCTGATGCTACTCATGAGGACAAAACCCTCGTTATTTAATCACCTCTTCAAGGCTCTGCCTTTTAATACTTTCACAATGGCAACAGCTGAATTTTGGAGAGGGGACACAAACCATGTTGTATGTTTTGTTTATTTCCCCTGGTGACAGACAGGGGAAAGGAGGTCTTTTCACTAAGGGCTCCAAGCTATGCCTGCCAGAGTTCAGTGATACCTGACTATCACTCTACTACATTCTTCTCAGTTACCAATACCATGTATTTAAAAAGCAGTTTACTAATTCTTAGGGTGTAAAGTCACTGGGGAGCTTGCCCAAAATATACCTGCCCTGACCCAGCCCCTGGGGATACAAATACAGTAGATTCTGGGTAGAATCTGTAACATTTCTTAACAAGCTCCCAAGGTGATTTTGCTGGGTAATGCAAGTGCAGTTTGCAAAGTCTTATCTCACTGGCTCCTTGTACCAGATTAAATTTATTTCTCTATTGCTCCCCTTTTTGAGTGTTGTTTCATGTATATCATCAGAGTGTGAATCACCTGGGAACCTAAATTTAGATCTCCTAGCCCCACCTCAAGTCTTGTGAATCAGAGCTTCTACCCATGATGAGTCCTAGGATTTTGTTACACACATAAAAAGCTCAAAAACAAAAAATCACCTCCCTCGGTACCTCTGCTGCAGCCACCTCCCTCTGTGCCTCCGCTGCAGCCAGTCTTCTGCTGGCCTGGGAGAGTGCCAGCTGGTCTTCCAGACTCACTGAGGAGGTCCTAACTCAAGAGCAAGTGGGTGTTTTCTTTGTCATCTTAAGCCCGTTTCCACAAGGTTTGAGACGGCTGTTCCGGAAGTCAGGTCAGTTTGGGATGAACTCCGCGGTCACTCTCAATTTCCAGGCACTTTTGAAGCTTGAACATTGGCCATTATTACAGAGACATCTCAAAGCTCTCTGTTCTCTGATTGCAGACAGTGACTGGCATAGTTGCCTACCTTGTTTTCGTGGGGCTGCCCTCTGTCATCCTTTCTGTCCTGAAGTTTAATGTACCCCAGATCAATTCAGACACCATGGCATGCTGTCAGTCCTCATTGTATTGTCACACTCCTCCAGCTCAGCCTTTCCCTTGGATCTGTATAGCGGGACATGCTTGGACATATCTTTGGAGATAGTGAAAGGCCTGGCCCCTTTGCCTTGGGTCTTAGCTGAACTGCACAAGTTACTGATGGCAGGGTATCTCCCTAGGTTAGACTTCTGGGGCCAGTAGCCTTACCCTGCTTCTGTTTTGGTACTTTTTCAGGTAGAAAGCTTTAAATCTAGAACCCTTAAAATACTGCCAAAAATTGAAGCAAAAAAGAAGTGGTAGGAATTGGTCAAGTGGTTAAGAATAGAGTATACCAAGAAATAACATTCACAGAATTTCATCCTTGGCCCAGATGGACAGCATGCATTCACATGTGAAGAACGTGAAGAGTATGTTATGAAGTCTGCTCCTAGTCAGTATACTTCCGAAGGACCTGACCTCCATAGACTGCTTACTCTGGACTTGAAAGAGTTAAATGCTTGCTAGTATCTTTGAATATGGTAGATTTGCCTGTATTCCTTGCAAAAGGTCACTACTCACCCAGACTCGAAAGAGTAGTGGTGTCATCCCTGCTTGCTCCGGAGACAATTAAGCCTGACTAGTGTGCTCCACATATTTGCATCTTGGGAGTTTGGTCTGTGGTTAAGTTGCAGGTTTCATTTTTGTGCCAGATAAGAAAAGCAGTAATGAGAAGAAAATCCCTTTGACAAATCCATTCCTAGGTGATAGCTGCTTCTTCAGGATACTAAGTTGAAGCGGGGGACAGCACTAAAGACCACGGGCTGGGGCTGTGATTTGGTGACTGAAATGTATGCACAAGAGACATATATGAGTCCTGACAGTTCAAGGACTGAGGAAAGAGACTAATCTTTTTTTTCCTACCCACCAGTCTTTATACAAATGTAAATATGTCTCCTTCAACAAATTGCCAAATGTGGTTTTAATTTATATAGAGACCAGCCTTTCTGTGCACTCAGCAGTGTGTGTATGTGTGCATTCTCTCCCTCCCCCTTTCATCTTCCACCTTGTCCCTTTCGTTCTTCCCCCCTTTTCCCCCTTTTCTCCCCTCCATGTCTCTTTTTTGAAGTCACAGGACATTTCCCCCTGTCACTCTTCTTTCAAAGACATCCCTGACCCCATTGTCAGAGGACGTTAAGACAAGAATAGACTGCTGTATTTCTTGAAGGCGTTTTTGAAGTTCCCAGAGGAAATACATGTGCTTTTTAAACATAGTTAAGTCAGTGGCTGAATCCACACTAAGACTGAGATTTGAAGACCCTGTCAGTAGTGCTGCCTTATACTTTATACAGTGAATGCAGAACCCATTGTTGTTATTTATGACCCTGTCGGCCTTCCATTGTGGACTTCTTCCAGCCTTGGGGAATTTACATCGTTCCTAATAGCAAAAGGCTTTCTGGTTCTCACAGAGTTGTTCAAAGCCTGACTCATGCTCCTTATGTTAATTGTTCAGCTCTGAAAATATAGCACTTACAGGGTGTGGCAGTAAGGGGAAAATCGGCTGTATTTACAGGGCATGCAGGACATGTTTAGAAGTGTTTCACACATAAATCTCCATCACTCCCAATCTCTCTCAGCCTGCCCTCTTTTGCCTCTACTGTCTGACCTAACCTGAAGTATTCTTTTCCCAAAAATTAATTTTAAGAAACAACAAACTAAAAAAAACAAAAATGACACATTACAATTCAATGTAGTCTAATAAAGCAAGTAATACTCTGTTCAGTGATCATTAAAACCAATTTAGGCTACAAGTAGACATGTCTTTGAAAGATTCTATCCCAGGTCTGAAGCCATAGACATGATCCAGAGCTCAAGGATCCTTCCTAAATTAGTATTGTGAGCAATGATGAGATGAAGCATTTAGAGATACTCTGGAGAACTACAGGTGGCTGCCATCCTTGGGATCTCAGAGACTATCACTGTGTTCCTATGTAAGTCTACGTATTTGAAAGACCTACTGATGGGTACCAAACGATAGCTCATGTCATAACATTTTGTAGAAATTTGATGTGGAAGAATGTTTGGTATCCCAGTCAGCAAGAGCAGATAACACCTTATCTGGACCATCGGCTTCTAACCTAAGGGAAGAAATTCCAGAAACATTACATGGGTCAGCTCTGGCAAAGCTTGGCAGACTTTTTTGAATTTTGTAATTACCTGTTTATGAAGCTTCTTGGGTATGTTTGGATAATCTGTGTATAAAGCCATGGCAATGACTATTATAAGAAAGCAACGCCTCCCAGTTTTTTGTTTGTTTGTTTAGTAATCAAGATTAAAGAACTCAATTTTTAAAAACACTAATATTAAAAGGTCTAAATTGATACAATTTTAAGGCTAACAAGGACTGTATTAATAAGTAAGGGAAATGTGGGGAAACCTCGTGACTGCTACTGTCTTCTCATAAGTATGGTGCTGCTGGCTCAAGGATTCTGGTTTTGGGGGCCAAAAATACCAGATACTGTTCTAGATGGCTTGGGATCCACATATTTTACATATGGTTTTATATGTTCATGGTACTTACTAATGCATTTACTATGTAGACAAGAATAAAAAGCCATTTGTGACATACAGCGGAAAATCCCCAACTGAAAGCAGTTGAAACAACCTAGAACAGCAATCTGTTTTATTTAGTATTTACAAAAGTAGATGTGTTAATCTGAGCATTTCTGATGTAATTGTTCTGAGGGTTCAGCTAATAGACTTCTATTTGAACCTTTGTTGTCTTTTGGAATAGACCAAAAGCGCCCTCCACGGAGTGTGTGACTATTTTGCCAAGTGTGCGGAGAGTTCGCCTTCTCCTGTTACAAAGCTCAAGAGAAACGCTCTGAAAGAAATGTAGGTCCGGTGTGTTTTCTTTTTCTCATTTTCTGACTGCCTGTGCAGATAGTTCTATCACCAGAAGATTCTCTCACTTAACGACAGTGTATGGAAGTTAATCAAAAGTCCCTCTGCCATTGGCTCTACCTACAGCCATATATTAATACATGTCCTTCCTACCTTCCTTTTGAGTTCTGGACAGTGGGAATGGACTCCTTGCTTCACAGGTGTGTTGCAAGTCATGATTAATTACAAGCTCTTTGAAGATGAAAAGCACCTGCTGGTGGTGTGTTTCACACAGCTCTTGAGGTAACTGCAGACAAACCTAAAAACTACATTCCTTTTGTAAGATGCTTGTTCTGACTTTAATGTAATTATGAGAGCCATTGGGCCCCTTGCAACAACATATTTATGGTTTTTTTCCACAAAACTTAGCCAAAGTAAATAGTCCAGCTTCAATACTTTTGTTTAGTGGCTGAAGAAGTTTCTTGATATTTGTAAATGTATTTTGCCAAAATTAAGGTCATAAGTCTCTCAATTTCCTGTGTAGTTTCTGTCCTGCTGGGGAAGTTTGTTTTATAGTTAATGTTTGCCTTATATATCCTGTCTACCTTTACTTATCTTATGGATCCTGTGAGAGGGGGAGATTAGATAGATAGATAGATAGATAGATAGATAGATAGATAGATAGACAGACAGACAGACAGGGTGGATACACTGTTTGTCGTGGTTATTCTTTCTTTAATGTTAGCTGTCTGGATTTTAGCCAGGACTGACCGAGTCTGGTTAACTGAGACTTATTTCCATATGTTGACGAATAAACCTAGCACCTGCTGAGTGCATCTGAGAATGCATCAGGGAATTCAGATTAGTATTTACTCACAAATAGAAACTGCATGTGTGTGCATATTTGTGCTTGTGCGTAGGTATGTACATACCCTTTGCTTTGGATTTATCTAAACATTTCCTCCTATAAAAATCAGTACAGCGACCCTAGGCAGTGCTGCCTCTAACATCTAAAGATATATACCTGTTTGCTTTGGTTAATAGGACTCTATCATGATTCCATTGATGAACCAATAATGAAAATTTAGAACATATCATAGATTACTGGAAAATGTGGATGTTACTATTTAATCCAATCTGCATTCAACTTACACTTTGGGGATTTCCTAGGTATGCTGGGGTATTGAGAAGCCAGGTGGCACATGCCTTGTTCTCAGGTGGAACAGCCAGGGAGTGAGGTGTTGGAGGAATCCATGCCATTGCAAACCTCCATGCCATACAGTCTTCATTGTCTGTTTTAGTGTGAGAAGAACTGAAGCAAAAAGCACTGTTGTGACCAAATCACAGACCAGCAAAGACCTTGTGGGAAGATCTAGTGAGTCAGGCATTGCCGTGGTTCCAAGGAGGAAGGATGCCCCAGCTATTCTTCTATCAGAATCTGTGGGTCAAGCACAGGGTGACACAAAAGCAGTCAAGAGCCACTGGGGGCTTCCGGTTCTAAAGCTGGAAAATGTTTCTCAGACTCAGCCAGAAGACACTAACAGCCAGCATCAACCTCATTCCGGGGAGTGGTTAAAGACAGGGCTTCTAAGCAAGAACCCTGTGTATAGCTATGAGTCAGCATCACCAGGTCCAAAGCAAAGTCCACGAGCAGCCAAGACACAACAGAAACGCAGGAACCGTGGCTCTGCGGAAGACTCTGACCACCACAGGAGAGTGTCTCTTGGAAATGATGGATTAATCCCAGGAGACATGATGGTGGAAAGGAGCACAGCTGTCAGTGTTTTGCCAGCGTTAGAGTTGTCAGATCCGGGGTTGCTTTTGAAACAAGATTTGGCAAAAGCCACAACTAAAGAAGAACTACATGCTTTGGAAAATCTTTCCTCCAGACATCTCATGATAAACAACCCAGTGCAGGCACAGCAAACCGGCTCAGCTGCAATTACTGAAAGATTAGCTACAGTGCAGGACGGCCCCAGCCAGAAGAGAAAGAAATTGCAGAGTTACAGCAGAGGATGTAGTGGCAAGAAAAACTGAGTGTGTAGTTCCTGGGATTTAGAAGGACTTTGGGTAATTACTTTAAGTAAACAAATATCTAGGGCAGGAGAGAAGTCTCATCTTCTAAAAGCATTTACTTGCAGAGGACACAGGTTTCCAACATGCACAAGGTAACACACAGCCAGCGTAAGCTCCAGATCCAGAAGAGCTGACACCCTTTTTGACCGTGGGCACCAGGCATACACATGGCATGCATACATACACGCAGGCAAAACACACATACACATAAATCTGTTTGTAAAACTGTTTGTGTTGGAATTAGCCTTCACAGTCACCTCCTGGAGTCTGTTTTTCTAATAGGCTTGTTACTTTCTCATCATATTTATAACTGTCTCCAGAAAATAGTGTGTTGACAGAGCCCTCTACCTGCCAAGGAGTAAAGCGTGTATATAGGGCCCCATGGAGAAATCAATGATGGGGGCCTTCTCACCCCACTGTGAAGACCTCTGGATGGGATAAGGAGAGACAGTGCTATGTGCTATGGCTAGTTCTAGTGCTGAGGTCCTCTTACTCCTCAAACTGAGTACCTGACATTGAAAAGAGCCAGTGGTTCTCAGCATGAGGCTCTGTGAGGAATGCAGGTATTGGGGTCTCAGGACTGATTTCTTCCAGCCTGGCTACCATGGCTTCCATCAGCTGAGGCCACATGTGGAAATGTGCACCCTGGCACTCCCTCAGACTTGTAAAGAGTGTTCACTGGGTTTGGTGTGTGGGTCAACTACTTCCCAGGTTCTGCTATAGGACGGACATGGACCTAGGGAGGTTTTACATCTGTAGTTGCCAGAAATGTACAAGTAGTTTCTCAGCCTGAAGTGAAAACAGAAGAGGTGGATCCTGTGAGGTGCAGGTTTGTCCCTGCACTTGTTCACGCCATCCGCATTCTGGTTATGGTTAGGACAGACCAGAACCCAAAGGGAGCTCAGTGGCCATTCCAGTTCCCAGTTTGGAGTTTCTCAGGGCATTTAAATGTTCTTGTCAGTTTTGCAGCCTGCTCTCAAGAAAGACAAGCCTTACGTTGTCAACCAGGAAGTTTCGCCTGATTATCCCAGCCTCAAAGGACCAGAAACTGCTTGCTGGCATTCCTTTCCTTTCCTGCAGAACTTTGTTCTTGAGAGCTGATTCCAAGACCTTGAGTCCTCAATGGAAGCATGAGTAGCCTCCATTGTATACCAAGAAGCAATTCGCTCAGATAGATCCTAATGTCAAAGCCAGTCCCATCAGAATAATGGGTGCTTCCCACTCTGGAACTAAGATATTCTGACATGGAAGAAACAGGGTTTTAATCATTTAATAGTTAAGGTCATATTTGGTATTTATACAAATGTTTTGATGTCAAGGAATGTTTTGTTTTTCAAATTTGTCCTATTATAAGAAATAATGATTATTATAACCAGTGAGAAAAAAAAATTAGTATGTTTCTGAGCTGTAGTTAGATGTGGCCTTTCTCACAGCTTTCATGCGCAATGGATTTTAACAGGATTAACAGGGAATGGCTCTGGGCTCCCACACTATGGCATATGTTTAAGGAATTTTGCCTTTAAGCGTTTTCCTTCAGCATGTCTGAAACACCTCCTCATCTCTTGTTTCTTGAATGGTTTTACAGTTCTTTGAATATATGGACAAAGGGAAAATCAATCCCAAGTGTTTTTTTACGTATCAGGTGGGATATTAAATATTTTATACTGTTGGGAATTGTATATATTCTTAACAACTGTAATAAATTCGCATTTGAAAGTTTGAGACCCTGTTAGTATTGATAATCAAAAATAAGTTCTCGAACTCCTTGATACTTCAAATTAAATTTATATTCAGGGCCTTGTGGTTCTGATACTTAGAGGAGATGTTCATCCAATTCTGTTGACATTATTGTAACTGAACTCAAGACCTTTCTCAGTATCTGAGCTGCTAGGCCACCTCCTTGTCTTTTAAGTGGCATTTTAATAGATGAGAGTTGGTTAGGTCTTTTTGTTTTTTCTGCACCCCCCCATTTTAAAACATGTGGGAAAGGCTGGGCCTGGTGATAAATGCCTTTTATCCTAGTACTTGGAAGGCAGAGGCAGAGAGGTCTCTGAGTTTGAAGCCAGACTGGTGTACACACTGAGTTCCTGGACAGCCAGAGCTACATAGTGAGACCTTGTTTCAAAACAAACAAACAAGTATGGAAATAGGCCGTGGTTTTTCTTGCACACTGGAAGTTAACTCACCCAGACATGCATATGACATGTGACGTGTCCGGGTCAGTTGGCACTGGGAACAGAGAATAACTACAGGGTTTTGTTCCTTTATTTCATGCTGAAGAAGTATGGAAATGTATTTAATTTTTTAAAAAGCAAGAGTCATGGGCCATTGGTGAAGTGGGTGCTTTTCCTGTGCAGTGATCCCTAAGACACAAATAAGAAAGAAAAAGACATTAAAAAGTCTCTATTTTGGTTTTTGAAGAATATAGTTTATCTCTGGATGAACCTTCTCAAAGTGTATCTTGTATGGTGGGGGTCTCAGTATAATTGTTTTATGTTTGATGTCATGTTTGGATTTCAACAGAGATTGTACCTATCATTGGCTTTTGACTTCAACAAAAGCTCTGACGGGGTCACACAAATAGGGAAGGAAGCATCCTTGCCCAAAAGAATGGCCTAGGATCAGTGTCGGCATTTATGTTTCCTTAAGCTGCTTGGCAGGACTTACTGTAATATTTTCACAAAACAGTAGTGGATGGCCCTCTGAATAATAAGCAACTTTTCAAGAGCCAAAAACATGCTGTGTAGCGTGCTGGGACTGGAATATGGAAATTGTTTTAATTTCTTCTTTTCTCTTATGAGGAAATCACTGCACTTGGTTTGTCAAGACAAGAGAGTTCATTCCCCGGTATTGAAACATGTTGGAGCAAGAAAAAAAAAATCAAAATTAAACTGGTTTCTCTTAAATAGCTTAAAGCTTTCCACAGTACAAAATAAATTAAGCATTGTAAAGTGAAGTTAATTTAAGTAATCACTCAATACTGAGGTCTAACCATGTATATCATCAGTCTTGCAATTCCAGGGTATAATTAAAATTCTCAGAAATCTGCAGAATTCCCTCTAATTTGGTTTATATACAATGTAACAAGAGAGGGAGAAAAATGTGTGTCAATATGTAGCATAACAGACAGGACTTGGCTGAAGTTTTCTTTTAATCCTGCAGATTCCTTCAGACTGTATATGAAGTATATCCAAATAAGTTTCATCTGCAACACAGTATGTCCATGCTGCAGCAGTTTCCCTCACCAGGCTAACAGAGATTGTGGCTTATTATAGTTCAGTTTAGTCAAAACTCAGCAAAATCATGCACTTGGCTCCCCAAAGCATCTGGCCAGTGCTGGTAGGTGTTAAGTTGGCAGATTCTCAGAATGATTTTCCAGGTAGGTTTAGACACAATCTCCAAGAGAGCTTTGGTCCTCTCGTTTAAGTACCTTAAATAGTCTGAATCCTCAGAATAAAACTTTTTTTTTTTTGTAGTGAAAATGTATCTGTTTTATAAGTAAATATCTGGTTTTTTTTTTTTAATTTAAATAAGGGTATCATGCAATTTGCTTATTTTGGGGAGTGGGGTGTCTGACTATATCCTATAGTTTTAACTCACCATGTAGCCCATACTTCACCTCAAAGTCTGTGTCCTTCTGCATCTGCTAGTGTGTGTGTGTGTATGTATGAGAGAGAGCCAGAGCTACAGAGAGTGAGAGATCTCAGAAACAAATGAACTGAGCTCAAAGAATGCTCATCCAAAATATCTGTTCTGAACATGTTATTTTTACTTACACTCTGCTTGTAAGGATGTCTTTCCTCCCAGGAGCTTTCTTGGGTTTTGGAAATCTTGTTAAAAGAACCATTTGAACCACTGGCCCTTAATATTTAAGTTTTCAAAACCCAATGAGAAACTTTATGATTAGATTGAACTTTAAGGTTCTATGCTGTTTTAACACTGTGCCCCCAACTGAGTTTCAGTAGACCTTTTAGGAAGGGCTTTACATGATCTTGACACCTTCTCAGACAAACTGACATCCCCCAGTGAACTAACTCATCCACATGCAGTCTTCTTCCAGGACTGTTGACATTCTGGGCCACCTCTTTCTCTACATCACCTTATATTTCAGTCTGTTGGGCTTCTGGTCACATGGTGTAAATAGATTTCTCTGGTGGCCCTATACTAGTCCCTCAAAAAGCGTTTCAGTGTCATTTTAGAAATGTAATTAAAGCTGAATGTGAAATGTGAAGAATAACTAAGAATTGGGAAACCCATTAGTGTTTTGGTCATCTTGGTACCCTGTGTGATAAGACCCACACAAAAGACACCCTACCCTGCCCTGGGTGTGGAACCTGGAAGGAGAGCTGGGACAATGTAACTGTAAGGTACTGCAAGCTACAAACCCTGGCTCCTGAAGCTACCTTGCCATTAGCTAATTTTATATATGTTTAAGTATAAGTCACTTAGCCTTCCAGGCTTCAGTTTCATCTGTCAAAATTGTCTGCTATTTTAAGTGGAACCTATAGTCCTTTAAGTACTGGAATAAGCATACCACATTCATGTACTAATTTCTCTGTCTGTTTAGAAAGGGTTCCTACAGTGGGCCCTAGCTCAACTCACCTGTGTAGCTTGTAGCCCAATCTAACTCGCTGGGGTTGGTTGAGCCTGCATTTAAATATTTTTAAAGCCCCTCAAACAATGATTCTCATGTGACGCCATAGTTAAGAATTGCTTTTTCAAAATGGGGTATGTGAACGTATGTAAATCTTGGATGCTGAAGAAGGCATGGTTGACTGAGACAAATATCCTTTAAAAAGAGGATTCTCCAAATCCAAAGTACATCTGCTTTTAGATGGATGAGTAGGAGGTCTTTCGGACACGATGTCGATCAGTAGCTATGCATTTTAATCAGAGGTGTGTTTTCTTTACTTTTGAAGCTCTCTATTCTGCTGCATCAGCCCCTGCACATCCAAACACATCATTCCCTACATTGAGATACTGCTACCCTCATTTGGAGGATGACTTTTCAAAGTGCCTAAATAATTGTCTGGAATTTCTACATAAACCTCTGGGGTTTGCCTTTGATCCATGATCATTAATATCATTAATAGGCTCTCTAAAAGCACATGTGAATCTCAAGCTTGCATTTGGCAGAGCAGCGGAAGAATGAACGCTTTTAAAATAGTTTGGCTCAGAAAGCGCATATGAAATAACCCTGTGGGAAAATCAGGAGACTTTCTCATCCTACAGAGGATTACCTAGAATGAGATACTGACCTTGTATTTTAAGTTCAGTTATATTTCGTAAAACCTCATTTATTACCCAGCCTGATTTATATAGAGGGTGAAGCAGGCTGTGAGGGGCCTCTGATGATGTACAGTTTGTGTTTGTCAGTTACTTTCTGCAAAGTTCCCAGAAGACATTGTATTGTGTGAGTGTGAGTGTGTGTGTTCATGTGTGTGGTTTCTTTAAAAAGAGCGCCCGCTTCTGCAGGAGATTTACTACAGCTTTTCTCTCAGAAACTAGCTGGAGACTCTTCTTTTCCTGGAGCTCTAAGGCGATCAAGCCGCAGAAGGCTGAGTGTGTCAGGGTGAGAGGGGTGCTGGCCCCCACGGGGGAGAGGTCACTTCAGCATAGAAGACTCAAAAGGGAGGAAGAGAAAGCAATTCCGCAGCAGGGCTCTGACTTGCTTAAGGGCAGGAGAGCTTTTATAAAGGAGTCCCCCGTCTCCCACGCCCTTTTGCCTGCTTTTCTTTTACCGCTCAGTGCTGCTCAGCACACACACCAGAACACACATACACAAGCACATGCAGCTCTACTGCTACTAAGTGTCTCACACCCTCTCTCCACCTGCTGCGAAGCTGTGGGCAAACCGGCAGCCCCTTCTCCAGAGGAGGCAGGTGATGGATTGACTGGAAGGTTCTCTAGGCCCGATGACTCTGAAGCCCATTTAGTTCCTCCTTCACACGCCTGGACCGGTGGGAAGAAAGCAGAGGGTGCTTTCCCAAACTCACTGTGGGCGCCTGGGAGGGCTCGCACCAGCTCATCCATTCTTGTCAGGGGAAGGTGAGTTGGTAAATAAGATCCATCCACAGCCAGAGTGTGGAAGACTGGGCTGGGCATTTGGGACATATCCCAGAAGGAGCAGCCTGGAAAAAGCCTCCTGTAAGGATGCCAGACGCTTGTGAAACTGCAGCATGGTTTATTTACATATTCCCCTGAAAATGCTACCCTGGTGAGCTTTTCCCTTGTGCAGTTCTGCTCAATGCATGTAAAACACATGCAAATGCTTTCAACAGTGGCTCATCAGTGAAAAGAGCTCTCTGTCCAT